AATGGTGTTAGTATGCACAAGACCCATGAAAACTCAAGCAGATAAAAAACCGCAAATGAACAGCAGACCCCAATCTTAGATGAAGAATTATTGGTAGCTTATTACTACTGGGTAAGGAAGAGCTGGTTTTCTTAAAGGAAGGGACTCTAGATAGGCTTGACTAGACCACAGTGGATGGATGAGCTTGCACTGAGGGATGTCTGGGGACACTAACTTGACATGATAGGTGTTAGGGTTCCAAACAGCAGCAGCTTCCCCTCTCCCCAACAGGGACCTACAGACTTTGGAGCCCAAAAAAGGGAACTGAGCTGATAAGCACCTTGACCTTTGAAGTCAAGGGAAACAAACTCTGCTGAGAAGCAGCCTGCCTTTCCTCTGACCTCCAAAGATAAGATAAGCAGATTCTACCTGTTAACCAGAGATTTTAGAAGTTGTTTATCACAACAGCTTTTCTCTTATCTTAAGAGGGAAAAAGTAAACACTTCCAGATCCTAATCCAACGTGGTAGACTGAACGGAGCCAGGTTTACAAGCCCTGCTTTTCCTGCTTCCCCCCCCCTGATTTCTCCCCCAAACATTCCCCCCCTTCTACACCCTAAAGCCCCCATATATAAAGTCCCAGCTCACAGCCCATGGGCTGACATCTTTCCCTTCCCTGACATCTTTCCCTTCCACATCTTTCTCTTCCCTGACATCTTTCCCTTCCATGACATCTTTCCCTTCCCTGACATCTTTCCCTTCCCTGAGGGAAACGTGTCCCGTGTGAAATAAAGCTGTATCCTGCTGAGAATTCTATCTGTGCCTCGGTGCCTCATCCATCCGCTTGTGCTCTCCACCGCACGCTCTCTCCAACATTTTTACCTATCAATAGGCTTTAACACAAATGACAGAATGCATGAATGCCAGTGTGCATGGGGCCTATGGGAGGGTGCCAGTGGGGAAGAGGGTATGAAGATGATTAAAATGTTCTGTATGAAATACACAAAAATTCAATAAAAAATTCCAACAATTTAAAAGTCCAAGTTCTCCTTTAAAATCCGATGTCTCATAACTGTGGATACTTTTAAGATTGAAAAAACAAGTTATATACTTCCTTCGCTAAAAGGGAAGAACAAGGGCACAGATACAGTTAGATCAAAGCAAAATGAAAATCCAACAGTGTAAAAAGCTCAGTGTCGGATGCCTGGGACTCAGAATCTTCTAGCTCAAAAAGGCTTGGATAGGTCCATTTCTCAGGCTCTGCCATCTGCAACACACACACACACACAGCTTGTTTCATAGGCATCTTTCATTTCATACCTGCACTGTCTTTGGTGGATATCCCACCATCTTGGCATCTCTAATATCATGGAGTCTCCACTGGAACTGAGGTGCACCTTCACCAATAGTCTATCCTGGCCTCTTCTGGGACTCCAGTACTGCCACATGGTGCCAAGCTTCAGCTTCTCTCTATGACCCCTTCAATATCACAGCTTTCATGCTCCCCAAACCTGTACCACATGGGAGACTCTTACACATTACCAAGTTTGACTGCCATCTGGAGACACAGCCTTGGCTTCCCCTGAACCACAACTTCTATGTGCTTACCCTGAGGAAATACTTCCCAGATTTTGCTTCAATGATGCTGGTCTCTTCTTAATCAGAACTGATATTTTTAGCCCCAGCTAACCAGCATCCATGGTCCTAGTAAAGCAAAGATTTCACTCCCACAGATTCTTAATTCAAATATATCATACAAATGGCCCTGATAGAGTCTTTGCTTCCCTCTTAAACTTTACAAGTCATATCTTTATCACCTTCATTTTCTCAGCATTTTTATCTTCCAAGCTCCCAGAGAACAGCCCATTAAGCTCTGAACATTCAATGGTTTTTCTACCCCAAAGTTCCAAACGCTTCCACAATCTTCCCCTAAACAATGTGGTCAGGTCTGTTATAGCAATACCACACTCTGTACCAATTTTTGACCTAGTTTGCTTTCCTGTTGCTGTGATAAACACTGATCAAAACCAACTTGGGGAGGAAAAGGTTTGTTTCAGCTTACAGGTTACAGTGCAGCACTGAGGGAAACTAGGGCAGGAACTCAAGGGAAGAACCTGGAGGCAGGAATCTGGAGGCAGGAACTGAAGCAGAGACAATGTAGGAACACTGCCTATTGGCTTGCTCTCTCTGGTGTATTGCCCAGGTATCACCCATAGTGGACAACCTGGGCCCTCCTACATCAATCAAGAATCAAGAAATTGCTCTGGGTGTGGTGGTGTGTGCTTAAATCCTAGAGGTAGAGGCAGGTGGCTCTCTGAGATCAAGGCCAGCCTGATCTACATAGTGAGTTCCAGAACACTGAGACTACAGGGAGACCCTGTCTCAAAAAAAGTCCTCTTCCCAAAAGACAACAAATTGTCACACAGACACATCCAGAAGCCAATCCAATGGAGAAAATTCTTCAATTGAAGTTCTCTCTTCCCCGCAGTGTCAAGTCGACAACTAAGACTAACCATCACAACAGGAATCCTATCCAGACACTACTGAGATGTGCTGTCTGTAAACTTCCTGTTTTGTGCATGTAGCAAGTAGAAGAGAATCCCTGCAATAGAAAGAGCACTGGTAATGCTTTTAGCTAGCCTTTGTCTTTGGTTGTTAGTCTTGATTTATAATTATATAACTTTTACATTTTACATAATTATTTTTGTTTAATTTGGTTAATCTTTAGTAAATTGATGGATGTTTACATTTATGTTATTTGAAACCTAGCCTCTCTTTTAACTAAACCTTTTTTATTTTTTTATTTTTTGAGATAGAGTCTCCTTGAGCCCTAGCTGGCCTGGAGCTCACTATGCAGACCAGGGTGGCCTTGAACTCACAGAGATCCACCTGCCTCTGCCTCATGAGTGCTGGGATTAAAGGTGTGCACCACTATGCCTGGCTAGGAATTCTTTTTTTTTTTTTTTTTGTCTTTTTGAGACAGGGTCTCCCTGTAGCCCCAACTGACCTGGAACTCACTATGTAGACCAGGCTGGCCTCAAACTCACAAAGATCTGCCTGCCTCTGCCTCCCAAGCGCTGGGACTACAGGTGTAGTCCGACCCTGGAATTCTTTTTTTAAAGTAGGAATTCTTTATACCTTTATTGATAAAATAGATGTAACTATTACCTCTTCTGAAGTGCCCACACAGTGGCATTTAATCTTGTTCTGTTGATAACTATATGCCACTTAACTCCTAACACTATATCAAGTTAAATGTAATAAAATTGTTGAACTTAAATAGATAATAAGGCACAATGTGGTAATATACAAATTGCATACATAAATTCATACTATGATGACCTGTACTTTTAATTTTTCTCCATTTTTTTTTTTGTTGAAATCACAAAGTTCTTTTTTTCAACATGAAAGTGAGTGTTGGTAAAGTAAGTGGTTTGAACATTCCAGCAGGAATTTCAAAAAGCTAGAAACTGCCAGTGTGTGGAAAGTTGATCAAGTCTGCATCTGAGACATCAATTCCTCAATACACTATTCTCTGATAGAATAAACCCGGGAATGTTAGTTTCTTCTTCCTCTCAGGATCTTGAGGCGATTAAATGAGATGATGTATGTAAATCAGCTGGTAAGGGAAAGTTCCTTGTGAGACTGGAGGAAGTTATTTCATATCCCAAAGTCCTGCCCCCAAACCATGGCTGCTCTAGAAAACCTACGGGCCATTTGGCTACCTAAATGCTGCTTAGAAAACAGGTAGCATTTCATACAAAGCAGGCTGTGGTACCACCCCAGGCTCCTCCTTTGGGTGCATCTCTGTGGATTCTCCTCTGAGCTGCACAGAGTCATTCCTGACACTAGTCAACACACTTCCTAGTCACCTCGGTCCTTACTGAAGGACTGTTTTAATATTTTTTGTAGCATTTCTGTGATGGTTAATATTGTCTATTTGACAGAATCTAGAATCACCTAGACCAACCTCTGGGCATGTCTGTGGGGGAATCACTAGATACTGTTAATAGATGGGGGAGGACCCACAGTAATTGTGGGTGGCACCGTTCCCTGGGCTGGTGTCAGGGACGGACTGAATGAAGTGGAGAACACAAGCTGAGCACCAGCACTCATCTCTACTTCCTACTGCAGATGCAATGTGGCCAGCAGCCTCATGCTCCTGCCACCATGCCCTCTCTGTTACCCTCAAACTGCAGTCAAAATAATCTCTTTCTTTTTCTTCTTCTTTTTTTCGGTCTTTTTGAGACAGGGTCCCCCTCCAGCCCCAGTTGGCCTGGAACTATGAAGACCAGGCAGGCCTTGAACTCACAGAGATCAGCCTGCCTCTGCCTCCGAAGTGCTTCTTAAGTTGCTTTTGTCAGGTATTGGATCAGCGAACTGAAAAGTAACTAAGACAACTGTGTCTTTAAACTTAAAAAAGTGTGCGTGAGCGGGTGCGTGTGTGTGTGTGTGTGTGTGTGTGTGTGTGTGTGTGTGTGTCTCTCTCTCTCTCTCTCTCTCTCTCTCTCTCTCTGCGCGCGCAGCGCTCAACAACATGCACGTGGAGGTCAGAAGACAACCTGCGGGAGGGAGTCGGTCCTTTTCTTTCCACCATGTGGGTGTATGGGATCAGACTTAGGTTTTGAAGTTTAGAGGCAGGCGCCCCTACTCACTGAACCATTTCTCATTCCCTTACAGTGGTATCTTTGTGTGTGCAGAGGAACAAAAATAATTCCGAGAAATTTGGTGCATGTACCTACTTACCCACATATTTCCCCTAGTATTATACATATCACATGTCCCTATTCGTACAGATATGAGCATCTGGGGTTTGGAGCGGCTGCTGCAAACACCAAGTCTTCCTTCTTTGGCTGTAACTCCCACCCACACGTGGCCTAGCTCCATCTCCGCCTGGGTGGGGCCTCTTCTTCTGGTCCCGCCTGCACTCAATGCTGAATGGTTAGAGGAAGAAATCGGTTTGCCATTGGCCCCTTCTCGAGGGGGCGGAGTCAGGTTGTATTTCGTCTCTCCACTGAGGCCGAGCCTGGCCGAGAGGACCCGAGTGGGGCCGAGGCCCACGCTGCCCGCTCCAGAGCAGAGGCGGGCAGACGCGCCCCACCCTACACCAGGCGGAGCCCGGGATGCTGGCCCGGGCCGCGCCGCCCCGCCCGGGCCCCGGGCCACCTCCGGCCTGGCTCTTCCCTCCGCCGCTGCTGCTGCTGCTGGCGATGCTGAGCAGCCCGGCGTGCGGCCGCGTACCCCGCTCGGTGCCCAGAACCTCGCTTCCCATCTCCGGTAAGGCGCAGGTACCCCTCGTCCACAGCCCCTTGCGCGGTGCCGGGTCCTCACCTGCAGGTGCCGGTACCCACCTACCCTCCTAACCTGGCCGGTAGCATCTGGGGCTGCTCTGTACCCTGCACACCCCTCTGGGTCCCTGCCAAGACCAAGATCCCTACCCTGTGCCGTTCCAATCCACCCCAACGTACCCCACCCCACCCCATTCCATCCCCAGCCTGGCCTTGCACCTCAGCTCCCAAGACACACCCAAGGTGCTCCCGAAGCCCCTTATTTCAGGGGAGTTCAGCACCTCGCCATGATGATGTGGTTATTGAGGCCCAGGAAGGGACTGGGGATTGCAGGAGGTTGATTCCTCAGTTCCCTTCCATTCTACATCCACCACTTCATTTCGAAGCCCAGGACCGTCCTTAACCTTTCTTTCAATCTAATACAGCCACCCTCCTTGATGCCTAGCCCAGGACTTCAGCCTTCTTAGCTTCATTTCCCCATCTTCATTTCAGCGCCTCCTACTGCCACCCAAAGCCTCTTGCTTGCCTCAAATCTTAATATTTCCAACCCACTTCCCATATCCTTGTCATCCCTGGCATCACCTCCCATCCTTCCATTATCAGCCACTTTAACTCCCTAACTTCCTGAACGTTTCCTGCTGCCTCTGCCCATTCCTCACATTGAATGCTAGAAAACACTTCAATGAGTTGATTTGAAGTTCTGCTTCAGAGGGCCTGTGGTCCTTTATTGAAGACCTGGAAGAAGTCAGGGCGTTCTGCAATGTGTAAAATATTCACATTTTAGAGACTGCTGAGGTAGACGTGAGTGTGGCATAGACATTGTTTTCTTCCCGGTGGGTACCAGTGAAGCCCAATTGGGTCATAGATCCTTAAAAACCTTAGACCAAATGACAGCTAAGGATGCTCTGAGTCCAGAAGGCACAGTTGGGATCAGAGCCTGGACTTTCAGTTTGTATTGGACCCCATAGCCCACAGATCGAGTTGAGGATGATAGGCTGTGTTGATCAGGCATCCAGAGATGCCTACATGGCATGGTAAACAGAGTTGGGGAGATACAAAAGGAGTTTGGGTAATTTAGGGCTTATGCCAAACATGAGAGTAGAAGTGAGTGTGGATGTGGAAGGGTAGGGTTGGTGGGGCTCACACCAACACATTTAGGAATGAATACACTGCTGACCAGTCTCTTCTCTTGAGGGCATCTGAGCCAACAAGGCAGCCAGAATAGAGCTGTACTGGTACAGGTGCTGGGTCCTCAGAACCAGAGATTGAGCCAAGGTAAATTCACAAAGTTCTTATGAACATAAAATGGGTAAGATTTTTGGATGCTGATAATGAAATTAAGATTTGGTCTAAACAGAACACATGCCTAAGGAAGGAAGACAGGGACCATTTGTGAAATGGGTGTGGCATGTGCTAGGTGCATCCACATGTTTTTGCACTTAATTTTCCCAACAAACCTGGATGATGGTGTTTACAGATGAGGAAGGTGAGGCTTGGAGAAGGCAAGTAACTTACTCAAGACCTCCAAGGGGGTAAGTGGAAGAGCCACATTTAAACACAGGCGGATCTATTTCTGGGACACATGCTCTTCGTGATATGTATTTTAGCTCTTTGGGTGGAATGGAGTAGGGGGAGGTCAAGGGTATAGGGTGAAAGAGGAAGTAAACTGATGTGTTGGTAAAAGAGTGAAACATTGCTGGGTGTGATTAAAAAAAGAATAATGTAGATAAGGAATGTACTTATACTTCTGTAGGTGTTTTAAAGTTCTGTATCATGCTATTGTGAATAGAAATGACAGATTTAATATTTATACTATTATTGTGAAAAAGCATTCTATTTTTATAGAAAAAGCATACTTGCCTGATCTGTGTGCTATTGACTGATTGAGGCTATTCTGGCCTCTTCAGTTGTCTATCTCTGGAGACATGCAGAAGGTTGGTTTGTTTTTTACTCTGGTGTCTGTCAAATAAATGATACCTGCAAGACAACAAAACTCAGCCCCTTCAGCTGTGCCCTTGGGGACCCAGCATTCATGAAGAGATAGCTGATGTCACTCTCCCCTCTCCCCTTCTCTTCCCACCAGAGGCTGACTCCTACCTTACCCGGTTTGCTGCCCCTCATACGTACAATTACTCTGTTCTCCTTGTGGATCCTGTTTCCCAAACACTTTATGTCGGTGCCCGGGACAGAATCTTCGCTTTAACCCTGCCCTTCTCAGGGGAAAGACCCCGCAGGGTGAGAGATGGCAATGGGGATGGTCCCAGACCCTATAGCATGCAATTAAGTCCATCATTTCATGGGCTGTGGGTGGGAGAGTTTCATGGTAACTAAAGATGGAACAGGGCAGAAGGAGACGGAGTGGGAGCATGTAGCCGTGTGAGTTTCTTGGGGGTTTGGATATGGACAGGTGGGGGTGGGAAGGGTTTTCTGTGAGTGACCATTCTGGGCATGGTTAAGACAACCACTGTGTAGGATAAACATTACAGTAGAAAATGCCTTCACAGGGTGGAGACTTTGTTAATAAGGAAGAGGAGAATGGGGCAGGGGGCTGGTCCATTAAGTTATTCCAGCTAAGCATGATTGGGAGACAAGGGAGACATAATGTAGAGAAAAGGCAGGTGGTAATGGGATGGAGAGATCACTAGAATTATGATATCCCAGGTAGACAACCTTTTCTCACCACTCATTAATGAGGACTCTTACAGTGACACAGTGCACAAGTGTGCGTACTGACAGAAACTTTCTTTGGAATGATATTGACATTCTTATATGTAATGAATTCTGATATTGTCCATTTCATTAAAAAATGTGATTTTGGGTTGGGGATGTAGCTTAGTAGATAGAGTGCTTGCCCAGAATGCTCAAAGCCCTGGTTTTGATCTCCAGCACCACATAAAACTGGATATGGTAGTACATACTCGTAATCCTAGCACTGGGGAGGTGGACACAGGAGAATCAGAAGTTCAAGGGCATCCTCAGTTACCTAGAGAGTTTGAGGAAAACCTGGGCTGCCTGAGACCCGGCCTTAAAAAAAAAAATGTGGTTTTGATTTCAGTTGATTTTACTACTCATTAATGAGTGGGGGACTTGCAGTTTGGAAAATAGGGAGATTTTTAGGAGTTTCCAGATTGATGGAGGTTGTAGAACTGTCTCATCTCCCCTGACCTCAGGTGAGTTTGCAGGGGAAAATAGTTCTCCTTCTTTCTCAGATCGACTGGATTGTGCCCGAGGCTCACAGACAGAACTGTAGGAAGAAAGGCAAGAAAGAGGTAGGTGTAAACCCACACCCTGTCCTGAGTGTCCATGGAGACGTTGGCCCAATCTGACTTGTATTCAGCCCCCCTGTAGTGCACCTGTCCTAAAGGGTCCAGGCAGGGACTCTAACATCACACATCATACATCATCCCCCATACCAGAGCTGCCTTTAATGATCTCCACCTTACCCTGCCCTTCCTCATACCCACTGCTCCTGATTCTCTTTAACCATCTCTGACCCCTCAGGATGAATGTCACAATTTTATCCAGATTCTCGCCATTGCCAATGCCTCTCACCTCCTCACTTGTGGCACCTTCGCTTTTGATCCGAAGTGCGGGGTTATTGTGAGTGACAGGGGCGGAAGGAGAGGGAGAGGGAGCCTGCAGCAGCGTGAGTTACTTGGGGGGTGGTGGGTGGGAGGGTGGGAAGGGTTTTCTGTGAGTGGCCATGTTGGGCATGGTTAAGACAACTACTGTGTAGGATAAGCATTGGGGTAGAAAATGCCCTCACAGGGTGAAGCCTTTGTCTGCTATTGAGGGAGGGAGGGAGGATGGGGAGGGAACAGGAGGTTATTTGTACGGTGAAGTATGCAAAATATAAAAAGGTATAGTGAGACAGTGAAGGAAGTTAAAAGGTGCTAGTTGGGCTGGGGAATGGGCAAAGCAAGAGGCACTTCAGAAACCAGCCACTTGTGTTTCTTTGCTCTGTGAGTGATTTAGCCTGGTATGGGGACCTGTTTCTTTATCAGAACAACCCATGCTTTCTTCTTCCGTAGCATGCCTCATCATCTTCTGGCACCTCCCCCCCCCCTTGCCAACCCCATTCTGTATAGGCTGTGACTCAGTTTTCCTTGGTCCTGATGTCACCACCCAGTAATCTGGTACCAGCTAGCTCTATGCTCTGGATCTTGCCTTCAGCATGGACACCCTGTCCACTACATTTTCTTCTAGATCCTGTTCATTGGTACAGAAGACCCAAGCTTTCCCATCCTCAAATTCACAAAGTCTTGGGATACATATACTCCTGATGATGGCTTGTCTAGCTACAGCTACATGTTTTGAACTCTGACCTTTCTCCATTAATTGTACAATAGTTAGCACTGGTCCTCTGGCAGCACAGATTTGTGACTAAGTCCTGGGGTGAGTGAAAACCTCACATGCCCTTTGCATACAGCAGAGTACAACATGTTCTTTTCTATCTTGACTGGACTCTTCTGCAATCTTCAATAATCTAGCAATCCAGTTAAGTCTGATTAGTGTATGGCTCTAAACCCCTCTGTTCAGACCATTCTCAAGCCTTTGGCTTAGGCCGGATCTAGTTAGTCCCCAGGGCTTCCCTCAGGGTTAGTTGGCTTTGTGAAATCTTTTCTATATGCTCTTAACAAAAAATATGGATGATTCTCTCAGTTCAGAAAGGTTCACAGTGATGTTGAAAGTCTCCATATCCCATCAATCAGTGCTGAGGGTCTAGTTTTCCCATAGTTTTTACCAAGCCCACAAGGCAGTGGTGATACACTTTCAGTCTGCTCAGGTGTAGTGATCCCAGAGTAATGAATACCAGAGTTGTGGTTTATATATAATATGATCATCCCAAATTCATCTCCTTGGGCTTTCTTTTCTTCCCTGGCTTTTTGCATTGGGACCCTAGTGGTTCTTAGCCAAAGTATGTAGGTGGAAAATGCTCTGGACATGCCTGCTGTCATTGGTGTGACTTGGGCTCCTATCCATTCTTAAGGGATGTCAGCCATGAAGAGAGAAGCCAAGGTTCTGCACTGTGCCTCTGTCAGGTCAACTCTTTTTCTGAACCCTCCTGTCTAGTAGGCTCAGAAGTACGGGGCCAATCTTTGGCCAAAGCTCACTTGTAGGAGAAAGGAATCAGCCTTGTTAGCCCTTCAAGCTAATCCTGAGCCTGCTCTGTAGATTTTTGAATGTTCTCTTCTGCTTTTACCTATCTTGTTGTGCTTGACCAATTTCTTGATTTATCATTAATGCTGAGCCTTTCATGTCCTAGACGGATGATACTGAGACTGTGTATAACTATTCCCTGAGAGCTTTGATCTAGACACAGTAACTTGCTCAGGGACGATTGTGGAGAAGTAGAGTTCTTGTAAAGTACCGGGTCTATCAGCTCTAGCAATGGAGTGCTGTCTTTTAGTTCCAGTTCATTTATCAGACATTGGAGGAAAATATTTTAAAATGTCTTATTGAGGGAACTCCTGCCTGTTAATTAACAGAGACAAATGTTGTGCGTCAATAATGACCAACATGAAATTGATGACCATTTACTCTGCTGCAAGCTTGGTGTGAGATAACTTACATTCACAATTAAGCTTAATTTTATCACCACATCATGGTATTCTGGTATTATTGATTTCCATTTTACAAGCAAAAAACTGGTGTTCGGAAAATTAGGTACCATTTCCAAGAAGAAATAACTAGTAGAGGCAGAGCTAAAATTTAAATGTAGGTTTGTCTGGTTATACGTCACAGTCCTGTCCGCCTGGCCAGCCTGAGATCCCGAAGACCTAGTCTGCTGTTGATTTCTTGTGGAATCTGACAAGTTTCATGCATCTGGGACTATCTTTCTTTTCTTTTTTCTATACCATCTGGCAGAGATCCTTCATCTACCTTCTATCTTTCTTGTTGAAGGCCAGAGAACCTATTCTTACTGCTCAGGCAGGGCCTTCCTATCCATCCAGATTTCAGTTTCAGGGACTTGCTTTCACCACAATTGGCACTGAGAGACTTCCCGTGAGTATCTCAGCATACAGATAATGTAGTGGGAAGGTCTTGCCCTTTTCACATTCTGGGTAGGTCTTCTTTTGAAGGCTAGAGGGCTAGCTAATATGATGGTGCCATCTGGGAAAATTGTGAGGGGACTAGTCTTGACATGTTGATATTTTTATTTATTTAGTTGTTTTTTTTTTTTGAGGCAGGGTCTCCCTGTAGCCCCATCTGGTCTGGAACTTCCTGTGTAGACCAGGATGGCCTCAATCTCACCTGCTTCTGCCTCCTGTGTGCTAGGATTAAAGGCATGCACCACCACACCTGTCTTGACATGTTGAGTTTTAAGGGACTGACAGGAGAGCTCTGTGAGAAAGCCCAGAAAGCAAATAAAAACATGGACTTAGGTTTGGAGACCATCAGACTTGGAGAGTGTGGGCAATGACTTACATAGAAGGGCTGGAAATAGCTGATCGAATGAGATCTTTGAGTGATATATGAAAAAGGCTACAGATAGATTCTTAGATTATACATGTTGGGGTTAGAAAAAAAGAGCTAGAGAGGCAACAATTAAGAGGAAGATAAAGTTTCAAGAACCAAGGAATGGAATATTTCAAGGGAATGAATTGAACATGTCAAATGATTCATAGAGAGTGAAGGGAATGAAGACCATGAAAAGCCTCATCGTTTTAGTTTGGTGAAATGTAAGGGGGTGAGCTTTAGGCACAGAGGTGGGCAAACATAATTTGTTTTCTAGGAATAATAGGTGACTTGTTTGGACAGAACAAAGATCAGTTTGAGAAGTAGTAGAAAATAAGCAGTGTGAGCTAGGGTCTGCACTCCAGGTAATGGTGGGCCTTTCTTGCGATTCTTTTTGCTCAAAATTCTGTTATCTAGTCAGTGTCTGATGCTTTGAAAGATCGATCTGAGGAAGATATGTAGGAAAATTGGGGTGAGGATCGCTAGCACAAGGAAAGGAGTAGTTCAGGTCAGAGGGAAGAAGGGCATCCATAGCAGGTGCTAACTGTACTTCTAGAAAACCCAGGCACCTTGGAAATCACCCAGCCACCATCTTTCTCAGATAAGGATGCTCTCATCACCACACCCTTGGGGTACTGTGCTTCTGTGGGATCTTCTATTCCCAAAGGCTTGTTTGACCCAATATCTCCTGTTTTTGGAAGCCATCAGATCACATTTCATTTTAACTGGCCTTCTTTAAGAGGGTCTCAGTGAAAAAAACCTTGTTTGCTGTCTATAATAAAGAGATGAGCAATGGGAATTGTCCAGTATTATGCTCAGGGAAAGTACCTCTATTTCACACCTCAACTATCATCAGAATAATTCAGCTGTAGCCATGGCATTTGTCTACTTGAGTCTGTGAGCTAGAGATAGCATGTCTGGCATGTCCATGTCATCATTTTAATTCTCAACCAACCACAGTAATGCTTCTCTGAGTTCTAGTGTGATATTCTCTTAGTGCTACATGTTAGACTAAGTTACTTCTGGCTAGCCCTGGTGGAGCTCTTACTGTCTCTCATCTCCCAACCAGGTCAGCCCCTCTGGAGCCCCTGGAAGAGGAAGATACTTACTTATTAAGTCCTCAGACTGTGATCTAAGAGTCAAGTCATTCTTCACTGACTCTGCAGTTTCCCCTGTCTGCTTGGGTTGAACTGGGAAAGGATGATCCTTTGTTTTCTCTAGGCCCTTGGGCTTCCGCTGGTTCCTATAGGCTCACAATTTTCTTCACCGTTTCTCAGGGCTACAGTCCTCAAGAGGCTACTTGCTTCCTAGATCTCTTTGGCCTGTAGCACATCTTCTAGGCAGTTGCAGACTCTACAATTTAGCAGCATTTGAGAGGAAAGACCTTTGTCTAGCCCTGTAGTGTTTTCTAGGGCTGTTCCTGGCATGCTTTCATTAGGTAGTGTGGGTGACAGGTGTGAGGAGGAAGAGGACTAAAGCAGAGAAGGGAAATGGATGGGTGATAGAATAAGGAACAAGGTGACTGAATATGGGATGCTGGTGGAGGATGGGAAACGAATGGAAATGTTGGGCTTTTCCTTCATTTGATCTTATTTGCGATTCTTACCATGAGCCTTCTACATGAACCCTAAACCAACTGCCCCCTTCTGGTCTGTAGGATGTGTCCAGTTTCCAGCAGGTTGAAAGACTTGAGAGTGGACGGGGAAAATGTCCTTTTGAGCCAGCTCAGCGGTCAGCAGCTGTAATGGCTGGTGAGTGGGAGAGACAAGAACCTGTGATTTCTTGCTCTAACGACCTCATTCTCCACCCTTGCTGTTTGAATTTTCTGTCTCTTCTTTTCTCAGAATGTCTGCTCTACCCATGTCTGCTTTTAGCCTCCCCCAGTCGTCCCTGAGTGCCTGTGACCACCTGCTTTTCCCCACAGGGTATTATTTTCCCAGGCTTCTCTAGAGAATGTGGCTTCTGCACCTGTAGTGTGAGTGTTTCTTCTGTGAACATCATTTTCTTCTCTCATAATGCTTGTTTTTTCTGTTTGTAAGAGGAATTGACTACAATGCATATTGTAATACATTTGGAAAAAAAATAGATGAGCATTGTCTAAAATATCTTCGTGTGATAAATGGAAATGTTCTAGATCTTCACTGTCTAGTTTGGTAGCCACTTGCTATTGTGACCATTACGCCCTTTAAATGTAACTACTGCAACTGAGCGAAGGAATTTTAAATCAAGTTAAATTTAATTTACTATAAGTAGCCCCTGGCTGTCATTTAATGCACTTCTAGAATATCTCTACTTAGAAAACCATTGCCAGTGTTTTAGTATATTCTTTGTAGCTTTTACAATGTGTGAACACACCCATATACTCCTAAATTTTTTCGTTGGCTAGTCTTTTGTTACTCAAGGAAATGGCATTCATTAAATTCCTTTAGTTGCTTCCTTTCAATGAGCCACCTACAGCTGCTCAAATGTGGATTCTACCAAACTTCTTTTGGTGAATGACTAATTAATTGGCAGCTAGAGAGCAGATTGTTTTTGTACCCCATAACCTGCATTTTAGGTAAGATAACCCCACATAAACTCTCCAAATTCAGGGAAAAATCAGCTGTGTCCTTGTGATAAATGGAAATTTTTTTTTTTTCGGTCTTTTTGAGACAGGGTCTCCCTGTAGCCCTAGTTGTCCTGGAACTCACTATGTAGACCAGGCTGGCCTTGAACTCACAGACATCTGCCTGCCTTTGCCTCCCGAGTGCTGGGATTAAAGGTGTGTGCCACCATGCCCGATGATAAATGGAAATTTTATGTATGCATTATAGCACATTTAAAGTGTTCAATTTAACACATGAATATAATTTTGAATTTTGTCATGAACTTTTATGTCATAGGAATATCTATATAATTTTAAAATACTTTGTTTTTGTTGTTGTTTTGAGATAGGCTCCCCTGTAGCCCAGGTTAGCCTTGAACTCTCTATGTAACTAAGAGTGATCCTGAACTCCTGATCCTCTTGCTTCCTCCTTCTGGGTGCTGGGATTGCAGATGTGTGCCTGGTTTATGAGATGCTGGGGATTGAACTCAGGCTTTGTGGCAAGCACTCTGCCAACTGAGCTACATCTCCACTCCCTAAAAATACTTCATAAAGAGAATTTTTAATGACATATTACTCATCTTCTGAGTATACCATAAATTAATTAAACAGTTCCAAATTGTTTATGTTATTTTATGTTCCTTCAAAGCTTTTGCTTTTATCCACATTGCTGTAGTCTTTCTGATCATTTTTTTTAGGATTCCTAGACATGGGTTACTACATCAAAGGGTGTGAACATTTTGTGGCTCAGTATCTGATGCTAATTGAGGTTTAGACAGTGTGTTCCATTCATACCCTAAGTGAGCAAGGTATGAGAGTGTTTCATTTTCTCACATAAATTTTGCCATACTATATTGTTGCCATTAAAAAAATTCTTGCTAATTTGAAACTAAAAGTGATACCTTGCTTTAATTTGTCATGGTACTTAGTTTTGTTTCTTGGGCAAGTTCAGGTTTTTAGGCCAATTAACAGATAGGCTATTAGTGTTCTAATCTACACGTCTTTTCCTCCGTGATTGTAGTTTTTAGTCTTCTTTTAGGAAACAGATAAACGTTTTTCCCTTTAAAAACTTTCCCTCAGACTTAATTCTTTGATATATTTGGAGCTTATTTGAATGAATGGTGTGAGATGGGACTTAAAGAAAGTCTTTCCGCTAGCTAATCAGATACTTGTCATTCATCATACGGTTTTTACTTTCTTCACTGACTCTTGTTGTGAGTTTTCTCATAACACTTCTTAACTTATATTTTTGGGCAGTATTTTATATAAAACAAAAACTGAGACATGGGATATAAAGTGAAATTTTTTTCTTATGTATGACTTTATTTTTAGGCAAAGTCTTAAAACTATACAGATTAAATCACTATTTGGTCATACAGTTAACAACTTTCCTTTTGAAAGTTAGTATAAAGTGTATGTTGACTAAATACAGCACCAAGTCATCGTGACTATCTTTTAAAAATATTTTATTATTTTTATTTTATGTGTATGCATGTATTGCCTGCATGTATGCAATGTACCCTTGTCATGCAATGTCCCTGGAAGAAGAGGACGTCAGACCCCCTTGAGCTGGAGTTACAAATGGTTATTAGCCACCATGTGGGTGCTGGGATTTGAACCTGAGTCTTCTACATGAACAGCCAGTGCTCTTAACCACTGAGCTCCATGATTATCTTTATTATTAAAACTGCTAACTGTGGTGGCCTATTGGATGTTTGTGAATGTTGTGAACCAGTGTGTGTGTGTGTGTGTATGTGTGTGTGTCTTCCAGGCAGGCTGGGCTGGTAGCTGAGTTCTTTGAAAGTCATCAGCTGTGGTATTTGTGACTTGGGCAAAGATTGTAGTCATGACAGGTTCAGAAACTGATGAACAATTCCAGTTCACTGGTATTAAAAAATATTTCAACTCTTTTGTGTGTGTGTA